TGCCACCTGTTCGAAAAAAGCGTCCCAACGCCAAGTTGGATAACACGAGAGTCCACCCGAGGGCTCTCAAACAATTACCTGGTCTTGCCCAGTTTCCGAAATGCGCGGAGATGAGCAAGGTCTCAATCAAAGGGAAGGAAAAAGTCCTCCCCGCCGTTACTGAACCCGATACTGACATGATCGGGTCAGTCGAAATTGTTGAGGAAATTCCTCAACGAGCCTCCGTCCCTCACGGGACTAGAGAATCGTCAAAATCTCCTCCGACAGCGTCAAAACCGTCGGAAAACGCTGCACCTATAGCAGCGTCAACATCAACGTCGCAGCCAAAAGCTGCCGCGAAAGCAGAATGCCCTCCTGAGCTTCGACCAATAGTTGAAGCTGAACAACGACGCGCTGCTAATGCGCAATACATGGCCACGGGCCCGGCCACTACGCCACTCGTTCTCCCTCCTATCCCGACGAACCCTCTCCCAAGGGCTCCTGACGCCTGGAGCCAAACAATACCCACCATCCCAGCTCTGCCCGTCAAAATTACCTGAGCCACGTTGGCCAGACATGGACCGCGACAAAAAGCAGTCCCTACTACCAAGGCTATACCTCGACCTGCGGCCGAAGCCCAACAAAAAGAAAACTCCAAGGCGAAAGCCGACAAGCGACTGTTCCTTCGCCTTGAAAAGGACCACCCGTGGCGAAAACTGTCCACAAGTTGCATGAGAAGCAAATTGGAGATGAGATTCCTTTTCTTTCACGATAAAATAACCTCACTTCATCGAGTGAGGACCGGCTTTGCTATGCTAGCAAAGGACGAAAAAACAAGACAAGAGATGCTAGATGGCTCTTCGAAGCTGGTGAGCGAAAACGCCAAACTCGAGGCATCTTCGAATCTTGTTGCCTTACAGATACCGAACGTACCTATAAGTATAATTACAGAGCGAGGCCCCATGGCGGTCGATTCTGAGTAGGTCTTCGACAAGATCGCCGTTGCGACTGGCGCGAGACCAATACATGTCCGACCTCATGGGACATGTCGATCTGGGGCACCGTATCAAAACAGGCATGCCCTTTTCGACCGGGAAGTAGCCCCTCGTGCGGGCTTCCGCCTCTTCGACGAGTCTGGTATGGCAACCATTCACAAGCCTCGTCGCCAAATTGAACAGTGTAAACGCTGTTTGGGCTTCCACGCCACTCGTGGTTGCTCCCGCGCTCCAGCCTGCTGGAACTGCGGCTCCAATATGCACTCGGAAGCCGAGTGCAAGGCCCTCACTAAGTGTCGCAACTGTGGGGGACCCCACCGATCGGATTCTCGGGACAGCAAAGTCAGACCCAGAAAGTCTGGGCCGGTGACAAAAGAGCAGCTCGCATGGATACGCCACCTTGTGTATCCAGGTCAGGTGATGCCCTGACATATCATGGTCGTTTACTTAGGCAGACTTGCATTAGCGTATTTGTATTATTAAGGAGTTTTTGGATAGGGAATTGAAAACCAACTTTCACCCAGACTTTACGACTTGACAGGCATTCTGTGATACAGATTACAGGCGTGCTTTGAGTTCGAAGTCAAGGGTGTTATTCCGAAAGCACAACCTCGAGCAAGGGAAGTTCGCGGAGGCGGCTCGAGCTAGGACTGCAGCCAAAAAGGCCGAAGAGGCGATCGTCGCCGCGGCGAAGGATGTGTCAATGGCTGAGGCAACAGGTTTCGGAGTGCTGGGATCTGAAGAAGTTTGAGGACACAGCAACCTCGACGATGTCCCCTTCTGGGGCATCTACTTACAATTAGCAGGATACCGGCTGGATCAAAGGTGCCTGCTAACTCATCTACTGCTCTCAGCGGAGATTAAGTAAATTTGTCATTTGGAAGGTGTGACGGACGAAGGAATGTGTGAGGAGCATATTGACTGGGTTCATTACGGAGGAATCTTTGGTTTTTCGGATTTGTTTTGATTTTCTTGATTTTCTTGATTTTTCGATTCAGTTTAATCAGCTGCACTTTTGGTAGCGATTCACGAGGTTGGAATGAGTTAGGCTGTAGGAAAGATTACAGGGAACCCTGCCGGCTCCGCCTGTCCTTGACCCAATGTGGAAAACATAGCTTTAGCTTAGGACAAAATAAACAAAACAAAAACAAAACAACACAAGGAATCATGTGATTAAACTAAGTTCCCCCTTCCATATTGTTTATTTAATCTATTCTTCATTCAATACAACCTGAATACATGAGAGTTGAAGGGTGACCGGTAACCATGTATAATTTAATCTTCAAGCGCAGGATGATAAGATCCTGGCTTTCATTTGCTTTGTTGGGTTTGTTCAGGCGCCAACATGTCGGGTAGTTTTATTTAGACTGAGCTAACCGGCACGTGAGGAGCTCACATGCTGTGCGCGGGCACGACTTTAAGTCTTATAATTAAATAAACACAACTCGACGAAAACTCTCAAATTCACCCTTTGTCGTGGCTCAATCTCGGCTTTGAGAGAATATTTCACTCTCAGGTTCGTAGAGGACACCACTGCCATGTGTTCAGCCTTCGTCCTCCCAATCAATCGTGTAGTATACATTGTTGTTATAAGTCAGAGTAATTGGGGCTATCAAGTATGCCAGGTCGTTGATACACATGTGACTAGAAAATCTGTACTTTGTTTCACTTCGTTAGATACTTGCACTAATGTGTTTTACATTCCCAATGACTGAGGGGTCATTATCTCGTTCATTTCTCTAGTTTAACGTCCTATCTGGCTTCTATATACAGAACCATGAAGACGGTAAGCCATGTTAAGAAGGGAAAAAGCTTTCAACAAACAAAACCCAATGTCCTGCCCCTCTGAACCGACCCGGTTTAATGCTGAGGACGTTCCTTTCAACCACAAATTTATAAACTTTTCTCGAAATTCATTAACTCCCCCTTCTATTTAACTAACGTTATGAAAAATTAAATAAAGGAGGCACCTCCTCGCTCGGTGTTGGTCTTCGAAGTGTTCGAAGTGTTGGCCCCGATGGTGCTGCTATTGTGGCGGGGATTGTTGGTGCCGCCGGGGCTTCGACTACCTTGCGTTGTCGTCCGGGCCCTCTTTTGAGTCCTTCAGTCTTCTTACTGGCGACCAAAGTGAATCCCTGATCATCAGTTGGTCTGACTGTTCGTGTTGGCGCCATTGTTGGTTTTCCATTCCATATTTCCGCCGTTCTCGATAGTTGCTCCATCCGAGCCTTCTCCACACTTCCCTTGTAGACTTGGTAGGACCGACACGCTGCTTTCTGCCACGAACGGTGCTCATTGCCGCAGTTCGCAAAAGAAACCCTTTTCCTCGGACAGTCCCGAGTTTGGTGAGCGCCAGCGAACTCACCGCACCTGGCTGCCTTTCCACACGACGCCTACGTGTGTCCCCACTAGCTGCAGTTATTGTTGTGATCAGACCCACTTATAGATCACACAACTTGGAATGGCTAGTATTGGGCAAGTGAACCAACAAGACAAGCGACCCTGCGTCAATGATACGTCATCGGCACACAGCAATGACAACACCAATATCTCAACCATACATGATTATATGATAATATGACGCAGGTATATCTAATGACATAGTTGTTGAATGGCTGAATGGTTGGCAGTTATTGCTATTGATGGTATATTGTATGTATTGTCTTTGTGTATAAATACTCGCTGCTAGACCTCTGTATATGATCAACCTTTTCCACTCTTATATTCAATAGTCATCAATATAGCAGATCTACAATATATATCTGTCTTCTTCACGTTAGACTTAACTTGCTATCCTACATCCACCCAAGTTGACTATTACACCCATTGTGACAATTCTTAGACTTCTCATAACCTCGTTATTACAATAGTTATAACACTGCTTTGGCTGGGCCCATGGTGACCACACCTGCGCGATGAAGAGCATGGCGTTAGATACAAGGCCCTGTCGAACTACCTCCGTTTGCATTGCCTCCGATAGGAGGCTGAATACAATTGTTCCGCGATTGCGACCGCTTTTCTTCGATCGCTGATGTTCCTTTCCGTCATGGAGCGATCTTATTCTACTTATTACTAAGCCTGGAATTGGAGCCTTCGTCGCCGTCTTAATCTCCCTGATGATGGCGTAGTTGTTACCATCTCTGCAACCTTCAATTCTTGTCAACAGTGGGACTCCGGAAATTGTTGTTAAGGTAAGAGCTTACGGAGGTTAATTGGCAGAAGGTTTACGGACGATTATTGATGAATCAATGTGAACTGCTGATATATTTGATATTCAGAACTATGAGGATTTAGGAGGTAGAAAGCACTAATTATATACACATCTGAGGTAGCTAGACTCTCGCCTTATTTGCCCAAAACAGTATCACGGAATAATCTATTCTCCTCCATCTGGTAGCACAATCTAGAAACACTCTCTATACAGTGCTCCATTACCTCTTTACTCATCATGGAGCCACCTGGAAAGTTCTTCCCTCACTCTTGTGCATCGTAATCCTAGCCATCACCAGCACAACAGAAATCTCGTCTGGAAAGTCTTGCCGCAAGATTTTAAATTCCGTTAGTTGTCGCATTTTGCGACGCGTCGAAGCCGCTGGATTTACCCACACCAGCACTCACGCTCGCCACTTTGGAGCACGGAAAGCGAAAAGATGGGAAGTGGGTAATGAAGATGAATGAATTGTAATCACTGTGCCGAATTGATGATACTCGCGGCCCGGAAGGCTGCGCAGCCTTCTAGCAAAATTGATGTTTTTTTCAGGGATGCCTCTAGTTGTATTTAGTCATATGCCTAATAATCAAGGCATAGATTACTGTTTCCTAGTTTAGTTCCAAAATGTCATGCACTTTCTCACACGACTTATTGGGCCTGATAAAAGTCTGGATCCACCTGATGCAAGTATATTCTTAAATGGCGACTAAGATTATAGACACGACGACGCGATATTGAGGAGGAGGAGGTCACGCTTATGGACGTTATTGCTGCATATACTATGCCACAGCTGGAGGATTAGGAGGAGCACGAGGATGAGTAGGCAACTGAGCCGCCTGCTACGATTAATCAAACATCAAATGGCCATAAGCTCCTGTTCAGCTTCAAGGAGCATGAGCCAGATGCCAACTCCATGGAGCTCACGATACTCATGCGCTGGGAAAGAAGCCTCCAGCAACAGACAGAGCATAAAAGAGATCAAGGTATATAAGATAGCTAGCTCGTATGATATATTTATCTATTTATTTATATGTTCACCGGGCACTAGTTACAACTAAAGCTCCATTACTGAAGGGACAAGGTGACTGATTTGTATCATATATGACATACAACGATACCACAATACATGTGCGAGGAGGCGCGACGATTACAATAAGTGGACTTAGTAATCAATTTTGTTTACATACTGTCACGTGACAATTTTATAATAAACTGTCGGAAAGTAGTTCAATTTGCTCTGCACTGAGCGTAGTCCATCTCTCAGTTGCTGAGTCATTGTCTTGATGACTCAGTCAATACCACGAACTACACGTTCGCAATGTTCATAGATAGAGACAACATAAAATACAATAATACATACCTCAGTTTCGTACCTTTCGTTGTGCATTGTACTCACCTTGCGTATACGAAAATTAAGGCCAATCGACAAAAACGTTATAAAGATATAGATTAGATTAGATTTTATCATAGTCCTGTCTGAGTCTATGCTTATGAGGGACTTCTTGGATCTACCTGGAAGAAACTAGCTAATTTTGATTTATTTAAACATGATAAATTGAATTATTTTCTTGTAGACAATGAGGGGCATATAACGATATAAAATAGCGTCACGAAATTATCTAGTTATAACGAGTCCGCACTGTAGTTTTCACATCCGAAACTGAGTTCTTCACGCTTTGTTTTCTGTCTTTAGGAGTAGTTACAGAATTCTGATCATATCTCACCCTCGTTCTCTGCCACTCACTGTGACCTACCATCACCTCCGGCTACTCTATCTAGAACGACCCCCTGCGTTCCCATTTACTACTTATCTGGAAAGTTTTCTGCGTTTCCAGGAGTCTTCCTTCCTCGTTACTTCGCATGCCCCGCTATATCCTACGCCTTGAGTCTTGCGCCTAGTGAATCTGCGCCTGACAAAAAATGATACAGACCTTGAGACTGATTTTATGTGGTGCGATATTTCTCAGCTATTTTAGATATGCAGAGCAGACTAAGTGTTTATTGTGGCACCATTGAAAGATGAATAAATAGTTTTTGTTGGCGAGAAATATAAAGTTAATACTTATTATTTATCTGCGATATGAATAATAACCTTCTCTTTCACTTGCGAGGAGGAAATTTTATGAAGGTGCTTCAGGCTTGAGCTAGAGTAGCTTTTAAGAGTCTAGTTAGTTGCTTGTAAGGTTTCCTCCATTAAAAATCTGATGTCCTAAAATTCAATGATCGAAAAGGAGATGGTTGCTTCTTATTCGATATCTTCCACGTGATCAACACTGGTGAATCCGAACTTAGTTGGTCACATCTGACTCTAATAGGATTTTAATTTTCCTTGGGTAAAATTTTCTTCTTTAAGCAACCACGCCGACTAAAATTTGTCGTCTTAATCCTGCCACAAGGCCCTTGATTCAAGTCTGTCACTTTTTTTGAACACGAACTTGCTTCAACTGTTCATCAAGGATATTAGGTTGATTAGATTTAAATTCTATCAGAAACGCGCTACGTTTTGAATATTGAATGCATACATATGAAGACAAATTTGAAGTTTTAGACTGGTTCGAAAGTCCTCAAGGGGAGATAGCCATCTATTTCGTCCTTGTGCCTTCTCATTAAAGGTCGGGTTAGATTTTGCATACGACCCCAAATATTTGTCACATGCCACCTCTCTTTTTTCGTTTCACTCTGTTTTTCTTCCAGAACTAAGTTGTCCATCCACCGAGGCCTTTTCCAGAACTTTAGCAGCAAGCTACTGACCACGACGCTTACACTACTAGTTGCCATAGCAGCACCAGCTGCCATTGGGTGTAAATGTAAACCAAAAGGTAAGAAGATTCCCATAGCAAATGGCAGCCCGATGAGGTTGTATCCACAAGCCCAACTTAGGTTTAGCTTTATTCGGCTAAATATAGACCTTGCAAGCTGTATGGAAGTTGGAATACTCATAAGATCGTTAGAGCGCATTAATACAATATCAGCAGCCTCCATGGCGACGTCTGTCCCCGAAGACATGGCAATGCCAACATCAGCGGTTGCCAGCGCGGGGGAATCGTTAATACCATCTCCAACCATAGCAATACATTCTCCTTCCCGTTGAAACCTTTGGATAATTTCTTGTTTCTGACCTGGTGTCATACCAGCATGAACATGATGCGGTGGTATTCCGACTATTCTCGCGACAGCTAGAGCTGTGGATTTCTGATCGCCTGTGATAATTGCCGTTTTGATACCCATAAGATGTAGGGCAGTAATACATGCTGCGGCACTTTGCTTGACAGTATCAGCCAGACATAGATGGCCGCTATATTCTCCATCTATAGCCGTGTAAATGTTTGTTGTTCCAGCTGATGTCGCCTTGATAGACTTAGATGCCTTTACATTCGATTCTTCGGATAGATTGATAGCATCCCCAGGCACAATAATATTGTTGGCTCGGAGAAAACTGACGTTTCCAATTAGTATACGGTGTCGATTTCCATCAATTGCTTTAGCTGGCTCAACTAGGGCACTTATACCCTGACCAACAACAGCTTCAAATTCGTTGACTGAGCCATCAATTATATCGTCGTTACTCCGACATATTTTCTCTTTGGCAGCGGCAAGTACAGCTTTACCGATAGGGTGCTCGCTACCCATCTCGGCAAGGCCGAGTATATTCCACCAAAGGTCTCTGCGCTCCTCCGTAACCTGCCATTTTGGCATAAGATTGGTACTACAGACTGTCATCTTGCCTAGCGTGAGGGTTCCAGTCTTATCGAGTACTACCTTGGTTATTTTGGTTGTTGTCTCTAAAGCGGCGCCACCCTTAACAAGAATTCCATTTTCGGCACCGACACCAGTTCCTACCATTACAGCTGTTGGTGTTGCAAGTCCAAGAGCACAAGGACACGCAAATACAATAACAGATATGCAGAGGTTAACGCAGACCATAAATTTACCACCACTTCTTTCCTCTACAAAAATAGTCGGAGGATTAGATAGAGCGTGACTGAGTATCATCCATGTTATGAATGTAGTTAAGCCTAAGAAAAGAATCGCTGGAACAAAATATCCGGCAATTGTGTCTGCTAGGCGTTGAATTGGGGCTCTAGTTGTCTGCGCATCCTGGACTAATTTGACAATTTGACTAAGTTGAGTATCTGTACCAGTTCTTGTAACACGGAAGTCAACTCTACCAGTGCCATTAACTGTACCGCCAATTAGGAGGCCCTTTTTCCTCTTCTGTACAGGCATTGCTTCTCCAGTAATCATACTTTCGTCAACGTATGTTTCACCATGAATAACAATTCCGTCTGCTGGAATCTTATCGCCAGGTCTTAAAATGACAATATCCCCAACTTGAACTAGTTCAGTCGGAATTAATTTTTCTAAGTTCAATGTGCCACTTGAAGTTGTTTCGAGATTTAGATGCCTACTTGCGTCAAAGACGACTCCATCTTCTGCCATCTTTTCAGCTGCTATTGGGTCTGTGTATATTGTTGCCATAGATGGAGCTAGAGACATGAGCCGAGATAATGCTTTCGACGTCTGACCCTTGGCTCTGTTTTCTAAAAATCGGCCCAAACTGATAAAAGTTATGAGCATACTACTTGTGTCAAATATAGTATTCGGCCGGGTGTGGGGTGGAGCGAGAAAAGACACTACCATAGCTATGACACTGAAAAAAAACGCTGCTGACGTTCCAAGGACAACAAGGACATCCATAGTAGGCGAAAAATGTACCATAGACTTGTATGCAGATTTATAAAACCGTTTACCGATACCAAACTGAACTGGTATCGTTAAAACCAAACAAATAACATCGCCAAGATAAATGCCAGGCACTAGTAAATAAGATCCGAAGTCTAAGGCTGGAAAAAACATAGGAATAATCATGCTGATGAGAAACACCGGGATAGCGTAACTAAGTGAGGTCTTGAAGGCTCTTCTCCACTCAGTTATCTCTTTTGTTTTAGCTAGAGACTCTAACTGTGCACTATTATCATCGTTGTGCGCAACTATGGCATTGTAACCTTGCATCTCTATAGCTTCGACGATTGCACGTAGTCCAATGACTTCTGCATTGTATGATACGATGAGCCTAAGTGTTGCCATACTCATTTTCGCGGAGCTGATGCCGGTAATAGATTTTAGATTGGACTCAAAATAGTTAGCTGCACTGCCATCTTTCACACCAAAGACTTTGAATTGAGTAGTGTAAGAGTTGAGAGAATTGTTGTTAATTGCTGAATTGGTTGATATAATTTTGGCATCGAACCCCCTGTCTTCAATAATCGTAACAATCTGTTCCGGCGTTAATTTCTTAGGATTGTGAACGATCACTGCCCTCTCAGCTAGAAGACTGATATTGAAGCTGATTTTTCCATCGAGGTTTTGAAAGCCAGATTCCACAGCAGACGTGCATGCACCACAAGTCATTCCTTCTATGGAGACAGTAGTAACTAAATTACCATTCTCTGATGGATTAAGATCAGGGAGCGTATTCGAAATTTCAGAGCTTGTTGTATTTAACAGTGTCGCCCCAAATCCTCTTTCTTCGATTACTTCTGATATTTCTCTTGCACTAATCAGTGAAGCATCATGCTCAATCACTAGTCTTTCTGATAATAGGGAAATATTAAGGCTTATAATTCCAGGAACCTCCAAGAAGCCATTTTCAATGGCTGATGTGCATGCTCCACATGTCATACCCTCTACTGCAAAGACGCTTTTAGTCACTACGGCGATGCTTCTGAAAGTAGAAGCTATCCGATTATTGTCAGTTTTGGCAGGCGTAAAATCAGTTGCTAATATTTCTGCTTCAAAGCCTCTGTCTTCGATGATATCTTTTAAATTTTCAGCGGATATTTTCTCTGGGTTATGCGACACGACTGCCCTTTCCATTACAAGGCTCACCGACACATTACTTATTCCCTCTAAATTCACAAGTCCACTCTCTACCGCTGACGTACAAGCGCCACAGGTCATACCCCCGATCCTAAACGTAGTAGTAGCCATATGACCTATCGAGCTTCAAAATTGTTCCTTTAGAGTCGATTTTCTTTATGTCTGGATTATGTATTGAGTATTTAGACTACCTGACTGCAACAATGCATGAGTCGTAAAAGGAGTAACAGAGCGAAAATTATACTGATAGTGTTCTTTTCTTCGTATCGTCGAAATTATTATCAGTCGATTTAGTATCTCACTAAGTAATTTTCAGCTTTGGATCGTTCATTCAACTGTAGAGCTTGAAGTAACTTACTGTTAGATTTAATTTCAATGTTTCTTGACATGAAATTCAAGTAAAAGAACCTCGAAGACCAGCTCTCGAAACTCTCGAGACGCCCTCAATCAACAAGGTATGCGTGTGTTGTAAAATAAAACTATAATAATTCGCAGCAGACTAGCAATGAAAAAGAAATGTTATCAGGAAGTTTAAAGACCTAAGTTAATGAACGTGAGAACTGCGGCGAGCTTGTCAGTTGTTCTGTAGATCGGTCTTGATTCATGCATAGACCTCCTTAACTTTAGGAAGTAGGCTTTTCCCGGCCTGTGTCGGATCAGCTGCACGGATAATTTTTGCTTGGTTTCATCGCAGGCAATCAGTTTCAGTTACCGTTCGAAGTGCCCTACCCAATATATTTTTAGTAGCCTATGATATGTGACACAGCCTCGGAATGAGCCATCTCGACATCCATGCTGAACTCCATCAAATTGTCCCATTTCTTCTCCACATCCTCAAAATAGCTTAGCCCATACAAATAAACAAGCCAAAACTGATCATCACCCATTGAGTCACGAACTTCACCCTTTCTCTTCGATCTGCTCTTTGTGGAACCTGGGCTCTGCCCAGCAAGGAAGGCTTGTCAAAACTGTTTACTGAGCATCTCCTAATCTTGCCGCAGGTGGCTCAACAAGATGGAGCAAACAAAGGCCTTGAATGCTCTGGCAGTGAGTTAAACTGCACTAGCTATATCAAAAGTCTCTACAGTGCTGACTCTAATGTGATTGAAAGCCTTTTTTAGCCCTTACTAAACTGGCAACTACACCTCGCGCCGCTGCCAGAGTTATCGAACAAGCAACCTCAGCATCAAATACCTACATATTTACGGAGCTACTAGAGGCAGCAGAAATTCGTGCTCTTTCAGACTCGGATAGTCACTCATCTTATCTCAAACTCCTTGAAATCTTCAGTTATGGAACATACAACACATATATATCGACGTCATCTCTGCCGAAACTTAACGAAACACAGACCACCAAACTACGTCAACTATCGTTCCTCACCCTAGCTAGAAATCCCGAGAACCTCAGTTATAAAAATTTAAAGAGAGAATTGGGATTAGAAGAACAGCATGAACTTGAAAATCTATTCATCTCTATAGTTTACGCTGGTCTAGTGGAGGGTACTCTAGACCCGTATCATCAACGCGTAGTTATTAAGTCAATATCTTCGCTACGAGATTTAGAGCCAAATTCTATTCCAAGCATGATAAATACTCTAGGTACCTGGTCCTCACGCTGTGTGTCGACATTGGAAGATTTAGAGCAGCATATCGCATGTATCAAGGCCGAAGCTTTGCGGAGGCATCGGTATGAGACTGCCTGGGCTTCTGAGTTCGATAGACTCACATCTGAGAGTACCACCAAAAATGAAAAAGAGCCGAGAAATTTCAACCTGCTCTTTGGAAACAGCTTAAACCCTGCTGATGTTGGTGCAGGTAAGCGCGGAGGAGATGCGCTTGATGATTACTTAGATGAGGCCATGGATATTGATGACGAAGAAGTCAATGAAAGGCGGGACGTGAGATCCGCCAAAAAAAGAGGACTAGATTCACGGTAACCTAGACAGTTTCTTTGTTGAATGTTAAACAAATCATATCTATTTTAATGACAGAATGTTGAAGGTGTATCCTACTGGACATACATACAATTCTAGGAAGACAAATTTGAAGATGGAAGGTAAAGCTCTGAACGCCAGTTTTGTACAAATCTTATAGCATATTCTGGTGACCTTAGTGTGTTATCCAAATGAAGTCAAATTAAATCTTTTCATTATTCTTACGCTAGAGTCTCTTACCAGGAACAAAGACGAAAAGTACTACGAGACCAAGATCAACAAAGGTAGCGAGGAAAAGTACAGTCACAGCCCGTTTACGTAGTAACTTTTTTATATATGGATCGCGTAGATGAGCAAAGTTCATGAGTGTGTACTCACTAAAGCCCGCGAGAGCTATAAGAGGGTCAAGTCTGTACTGATGAGCCATAAGGCTGTATACGCCTATAGTGAATGGTAATGAGAGCTATGGATGTTAGTCATGTTGTCTAGTAGTCCACTGGATATTACGTACCCATGCTCTCGTATTTCGGGGGTAGTCAAGAAAAATGAGAATAAACCCAGTCCATAGGGCAGCAAAGAGCGATAGTAACCCGACAATTAATCTAATGGTTAGTGACGAGGGAACAAGATTCCCAAGGGCTTTTGCTCGGAGGAAACCAGGGAAAGCATCACGTTCCATCGCTTGGAAAACATAGTCTTTTGCCACATCAAAAACTTCTGGGTCGTCTCGTCCTTGCTCCTCGATGGAATGAGTTATTTCATCTACTATTTCATCCAATAAGTATATTTCCCGCTCTGCACCACGCAGTAGGAAAGTATAGAGTATTTTTTCTGCAGATTGTCGTATATCGGCTCGCGATATACTGTGTTCTGGCGAGATGGGATTTGAATTTAAAAGCTGTGAACTACTGAGACCAATACTAGGCCGAGATAAATCAATAGATTGAGGCTGCTGAGAATAGTCTGTTGGAACTTCGGTATTTTCTGTCTGTGAGGGCGGGACTTCACCTGGATTATCTTCCCTCAGAAATGCCGAAATCTGTGGGTCCTTATTTTTTTCATTCGACGGACCTGCGGCTCCGTTGTTTCGGTTTGTAAAATCACCTAATATTTGAGATGATCTCTTTGAAGCAGACTTTTCGCCATCTGGTGTTTCTAACAGTACTGACCGTCGAAGTTCTCGTACATAGTGTCTGCAGAGGGACATGTGTTGCGCAACGTCGAGCCTGACCATGGTCAAAAGCTGATGAAAGAATGGTTTGGATTCATCCTACCAAAAATCTAAATAGTCAACAGACCTCTGTTGATCTCGCATGTAAATATAAAAGAAAAAGAGATCCACTGGCGCAGCAGTCCTTCTACTTAGAACTTCAAATAATGTTGGAAGTCGTTTGCGCGTTAAGTCAGGAATAGGTGATGGCGTATCACTCTCGCCTTCCATGTCGGGATTGAACTTCTCGCTTTCGCATACAGTGAATCTTATTGTTGGAATCAATGCTTTGATTGCGATGATCCGAATGTTTGGGGCGTTGTGACGATCGATCTAGTAAATTAATACTGTGTAGAATGTTTGTGCCCCGCCGATTGCACCGCATTTATGGAGCTCAAAGATAGCATCGAAAAGTTGTCGAATACCGGACAAGGCAAGTGCTCCTAGGCATAAACGTGAGGCAAGCAATGGCTTTGCTGCCACGTGACTATACATCCCATGCACAAATCTCGGCTAACCACACCCACACGGATTAGAAAATTGATTTACCTCTTTTCGTCGCCATCTCACCAAATACACAACTAGGACAGGAAATTATCAACTATGTCGTCAAAAACCAAGAAGCCTTCCGGTAAGACCCAAAGGTCAGCTATCTCCGACGTTGTTGCTCGGGAATACACCATACACCTCCATAAACGAGTAAGTCAAAATCTTCAGAGCATTTAAATTGAAAACTAAACTTATACCCAGCTTCACGGTGTAACATTTAAGAAAAGAGCCCCAAAAGCAATCAAGGAAATAAAGGCATTTGCAACAAAGTCTATGGTCAGCCCATGCTTTACAACTAAATGCGATAGAATTTAACAGGCAATGGCAGGGCACATCCGACGTTCGTCTCGATCCACAATTAAACAAGAAGGTATGGGAAGCTGGTATCAAGGGTGTACCATATAGATTACGCGTCCGAATCTCACGGAAACGGAACGATGAAGAGGGTATGATTAAAAATATCTCTGTCAGTATACCCTTGCTAACAAAACCTAGGAGCAAAAGAGAAGCTGTACAGCTACGTTCAGGCCGTAAATGTGAAAGACGCGAAGGGACTACAAACAGTATTGGTAGAAGCATAGAAAAATATTAGTATCAATGTGCTACCTGATCTAATCGTGTTCTCAAAGTTTACGGTTGACTAAAGCTAACACTGTGAAGAGACTCCTCTAATTTTATAGGATTGAGAGATGCAGGTTAAGGAAAGGTAATTTCTTATCATTTGGTAGCCACTCATTCCTCTCCTATCAGCGCCCGCCTGGACTTTTCGGACGTAAGAGATGGAATAGATATTGCTTCCGATCTTCACCTTACCTATTTATTTCAGAAACAAGCTTTTGTTACTTTATAATCACTCAAAACTTTACTTCAACACGAAGTTATCATGGATCAAAACTATCTCTGAATTACATCAATTGAAATATGTTGGCCTAATTTGTGGAGAGGCTAAAGAGTTTATTTCACAATTTCTAATGATTCTTAAGATCTATTTGTAAACATCTCGCCCTGAACCATGCCTGATATTTTATCGTCTCTCCGAAAGCAGGCAAGGAGCCACAATTTGTACATGGGTGGACTTGAGATTTGCGATTCACTTGTGTCTAGGTATCAACAATAAGAAATCCAAAAAACGTCATAGATATATATTTTGAGCATTAAAAAACGAAAAGATTTATCTGTACTGTTGCGGTTTCTAGAAAATAATGATCTACCTGCCAATAATCGATGCAAATAAGTTGACAGTTTAAACTGTGAATCACATTGTTAACAGTTCAAGTAAGGACGATACTGTTACCCTCACATAAATTTTGATTGAAAAAGTCTCTTTGATTGATAGCCATAAGCCTTAACCGCTGTAAACTCAAGAGAATGTGAGTTTAATGTATTTCTTCGGTACCTCTACGGAAATAGAAGCCCACGCCGCGGGCTACATTTCAACGCTTGAATTGAAGGTTCCATCATGGTGCAATGTAGTTGTGCTAATATTCTTCGCTAATACTCTAACTTCAGATCATTGCTAAATGTAAACTGCATTATTATTCCGATTGAGAATTTTTTCGTCACCATTCGGCATTCGGATTCTAATGGTCCACCATGTACTGGCCTATATTAACATGCGCACTGGCACTTCGACCAAATCTATCTCTTTGATATAATCTAGCACAACAACGGTGCTTTTTGGACTTGTGTTGTTTGAGCCTCCTTAACCAACAGATGCATGACCGTATCTAGAATCCAATTCGTAGTGGCCTTTTCTTTTGGTCCCTGCCTCGTCTAAACGTTGGAAATTTCATGCGTTTGTAGCAGAGATGTCCTTTGCCGATATCCTCTGCATCACAACTAGGTATGAAAATTGAGTCATTAATTTGTCATGGACGTCGTGGCATACTTTGAGGCGAATTGACGAAAAGTTTCAAATAGGAGAGAAGTGGAAGGGACGAGGTTGTGAGCAAAAACATTTTTTGATTGATAGTCATCTATCGAACCATTCGAGAGCGGTGCGCCGTTTGTCTCCGCTACTCACTTGAAACAACCGTGTTCATGCTGCTACTATTGTAGGTTGACGATATTAGTCCCTATCCTAGCGCACTACTTTTATCTACCATCAAATGTTGAACGGCTGAACTTTTGCAAGACATATCTATAAAAAGATATGTGCTGACTGTGAGGTTCGAACTCACGCATCTCTCGATAATGGTGACGTCGTATTGTCTTAAAACCACCGCCTTAGACCACTCGGCCAAATCAGCTTCCGTGCTGACTACAACATAAAGATCATTTCTAAACCAAATGCTAAGTGATCCCTGCATTTACAAAACCACACTTGATCACGTTACAATTATCTTTCATAATTGATAGCCGTGTTCCCAGGATTACGACGACTTTGAATGGTCTCACAATTATTCTTCAATCCACTTTCGATGAAGTAGCGAGATATTTAGGCACTCTCGCACCTTTTAATTCACAGTTTAACAATCTGGAGCTAATGATCTAGTCTGTTGGGGCGGCCGGAAACACGGCGCTGAGGCGCAAGTCAAATACATGACAGGATATGCAGCCAAAGAGTAGAACACTTTAGCGTCGCGAAAACAAAAATTGGGCAAGTCGGGATTCCCCACCTGCACGACTCAGGTCGACGCGTTCATCGCCCTAATGGATCATCGTCTCGATCTCTGACGAGAGTTTGTGGTGAGCACACACATTTCCAGCCAAATAAACGATATTTTAAAAATTGAACCGAAGCAGCCACCCACCCCATGGCGAGATATTCCGGCTCTCGTACATCTTTTCCGCGATGAAATACCCTGCCGTTGTAGCTTTCATGACCGGGATATCAGCTACGGGCCAAGCCTTCTCCGCGCCAGCTCTAGCCCGCGGTAAGATAGCTCATTCATGCTCACTAACGCTTTGGAGTGTCATCAATTGTCCTTTTGCTGGCGAGCCGGACTTGCCCGGCTGAGTAATTAGCTTAGTCTCTCATGGATGCAGCATTTTTCCAATGAGTAGTATCCAAAATAGGCGCACCCAATTTTGCAACAACTATTGTATTCCATCGCGCGAGTACAGCCACAGGTTGTATCAACCCCGAGGCAGCATTTGAGATTCTGTGTACTAAGTGTTTCACTGCCATCCCTGATTCTCCTAGGATTTGAAAGCCAAGTTAGAGCACCGATTCCATTGGAAATAGGCTACCGATGGCTGAATGTAGATACTCCTTGATTGAGTCTCTACACTGTCCGTCTGATCCTTCGTCAGATTTAGAAGGACAACTTCGATGCTATTTATGGCGGCGCTTCACTCTTCGGCCTCGAGGGTTGGTCGTGGCTATGATATGAAGAAACATGTTTGTGTCTGAGTGCTTGGCAATGCTCATCATCACGCGTCTCACCAACTGAGCTAGGTCTGGTTTCTCATGGTGAAATGTTATTGAGCCTCTCGAACTATCATGTATGGCCGTTTTCTATGCTCTGGAAGCATTTTAAACGCTTGACGATAGCTCACAACCCCACGATAGCCGATACGATTCCGAAGATAAGGAGAAAAGAGGGTTTTCAGGAATTCGAATTCCTTAAGATTTTCGCCCATTTTGTCATCACTTAGTGCCAGAAAACAGTGCGGAGACTGATCTACAATCACATCGAGAAAGGAAAATAATAAGTAATGCGTTGGTTTACTCCTCTTATTGGCTCAGAATACCTAGTCTATACGACAATAATAAAAGGAACCGATATAAGAGTTCAGTATGCTATGCACATCTGGGACAGATAAGAAGAACCGCATCAAAATCGAAGTCGAATGGTAGCCCAACCCAATCTTCGGTCCATGTCGTCTTTATATCACAGCACAGTCTCCAATTAACGTTATTGTTGAGCTACCCATGGCCAGATCTGACAGTAGAGTCGAAGCCTTACCTAACATCTACGCACTTACCCCGCTCATGGAGTACAAAACATCTTTTGAGTTTTCGAAGCATACTCGGTTCCCGAAATGACTATGGTGTATTTGATTGAGTTGGTCTCTTTTGTTTCGAGGAGGGCAGGTATAGATGAATCTATGCACCTCGTGTAGCTCCGGCGTATATTTTTAGAAATTTTCCCGCGTACGCATTTTCCATTTTTATCATTTTCATTTTTTAGGATAGAAGATTCCGTAGGAAAGGAGGGTGACTTTTACGGGTAAACAATTAGTCGGATGGCTATCCATCATGGGCACTATACCACAGACACTTTTCGTAACAAAAGGGAATAGGAGCATTGTACAAGGTGCGGCCTGGGACAGAGAAGATCCCAATGTGCTAGATAGTCTATGACTCAAGCAGTAAAACAAAAAACAGCTAATGTAGCGTAATCAGGATGAAAAGTGCAAATGAATCAAAAACGCGGAACAGTTTTTAAGTCAGCGATAATATCACTCCAGTTTGTTTTGATGATAGGCATAACTGGCGAATTATTACTGACTCTCGTTCCATGTTGATAGACAAAAGATAGAATACAAGGTTTATGCTGGTATTGTATTTATAGAAATGCGTCGTGTCAGTTATACTCTAGAATATTCAAACGGGAAAGATAAATTTTGTATTCCACAGTTTCAAAACGAAACATACGTTAAGAAGAAATAGTCTAAACGTCTTTCAAAGGAGTCATCCACTGGTCTGAATGCAAACTTTTCTCCGACCACCGAGATCTATCAAAACTCGCAGTTCCGAACAACTTGGCCCACGAGGTAATGATACAAAGATACTCACCAAACCAGTCTCTCCTTCCCAACGAAGTCGATGACCGTCAAAACCTCATAAAATTTACAAGTAAGACCAGGCACATCCTCATCTCAATAACCAAACCAGTTTTCAACATTTCCTGGCCTCATCTGGTCGCCAGATACACGCCCACGCCGATATTTACACCCGACGGAGGAAACAAAGCGTGGCGCACAAATCTGGGAGACAGTTCCTTGGGATGGAAGTAAGAGGGATCAGGACAAATTCACAAGATGATGCAGAGAATGGATACATTCTCGACGGGCGTTAAATTTCGAATATCGGTGAGAGAAATTTACAAATTGAGCTTTGTGCGTGCCAACGCTTCGGCTGCGAGAGTGCAGGCGACACTCTAAGCACCACCATGGTTGGATGGTGCGGTGGTACATCGTCATGGCCGGTCTTCCAAGTAAGGTCTGGATAGCTTGGACACATATCCCACTCGAGACATTAGATCGCTGGTTCAAATCCGGCAGAACACAGTTAATTTTCTCGCGACGCTGGTATACATGGATAATCAAAGGTTTTGAATTTCCCTTTGGTGGGTACTTACGGAGGATGGTCGAATGTTTGTGTAGGCAAGCATACCTCATAGTGGTACTGGCGAATGAAATCGAGAGTATGAGTGTCTCTGCCGCCAAAAGAGTCATCCCACATGTATACATAGCACCGGTCATGTGTCATACCTAGATAGCTGAATACATTTTAATTGTGTTAGAAAAATGCACATAAGCCATTCTTGGGCTCTTTATAGAACACAATATTTTAACGTCCCAGACTACTCTAGCTTGTAAACTTGAGTTTTGGCTCGATGTCTTGCCAGTG